CGAGAATGAACCTCATTGGTTCTTGCAGAAGCTCAAACGTGCTGCGTAACATGAGAATGAATCTCATTGGTTCTTACAGAAGCTCAAACGTGCTGCATAACACGAGAATGAACCTCATTGGTTCTTGCAGAAGTTCAAACGTGTGCGTAAAACGAGAATGAACCTCATTGGTTCTTGCTGAAGCTCGAACGTGCTGCATAACACGAGAATGAACCTCATTGGTTCTTGTTGAAGCTCAAACGTGCTGCGTAACACGAGAATGAACCTCATTGGTTCTTGCAGAAGCTCAAACGTGCTGTGTAACACGAGAATGAACTTCATTGGTTCTTGAGGAAGCTCAAACGTGCTGAGTAACACGAGAATGAACCTCATTGGTTCTTGCAGAAGCTCAAACGTGCTGTGTAACACGAGAATGAACTTCATTGGTTCTTGAGGAAGCTCAAACGTGCTGCGTAACACGAGAATGAACCTCATTGGTTCTTGCAGAAGCTCAAACGTGCTGCGTAACACGAGAATGAACCTCATTGGTTCTTGCAGAAGCTCAAACGTGCTGCGTAACACGAGAATGAACCTCATTGGTTCTTGCAGAAGTTCAAACGTGCTGCGTAACACGAGAATGAACCTCATTGGTTCTTGCAGAAGCTCAAACGTGCTGCGTAACACGAGAATGAACCTCATTGGTTCTTGAGGAAGCTCAAACGTGCTGAGTAACACGAGAATGAACCTCATTGGTTCTTGCAGAAGCTCAAACGTGCTGCGTAACACGAGAATGAACCTCATTGGTTCTTGAGGAAGCTCAAACGTGCTGGGTAACACGAGAATGAACCTCATTGGTTCTTGCAGAAGCTCAAACGTGCTGCGTAACACGAGAATGAACCTCATTGGTTCTTGCAGAAGCTCAAACGTGCTGCGTAACACGAGAATGAACCTCATTGGTTCTTGCAGAAGTTCAAACGTGCTGCGTAACACGAGAATGAACCTCATTGGTTCTTGCAGAAGCTCAAACGTGCTGCGTAACACGAGAATGAACCTCATTGGTTCTTGCAGAAGCTCAAACGTGCTGCGTAACACGAGAATGAATCTCATTGGTTTTTACAGAACGTGCTGCGTAACAAATGGGAATGAACCTCATTGGTTCTCGTACGTCAAGCGAACATGCTTGGGCTTCTGTTTACCTTAACTGATGTGTGAGTGATGAATGTTTATATGTGGATAAAAGCCTAAATTCAATCTGTTCATCATATAAAGCTGTCTGGAGAGTACAGAAAGCTTTTCATTTCTGATCCGAAGATTAACGAACTAAATGGTTTGGAACGACATCAGGGTGAGTAATTAATGACATAATTTTCATTTTTGGGTGAACTATACCTTTAATTTCTTTAAAAAAAAATCTTTCTGACCTCCAAATTTGGAGCTTAGTTTATATAACAAAAGTAGTGATTGACCATATGACCACATCAGCCAGTCATGAGGTTCTATTTCAGTCAGAAAGTAGACGGTTAGAAACAACGCAGCTCAATAGGTTTCAGAACAGTTTTGTTTGACTGAGTGCAGCTTTCGAATCTCAGAGCAGAGATTGGAATCTTTAGAATCTCAGAACAGATGTCATAACACACAGTCATTCTTCAGCGTGATTGGACACACAAACTAAAAGTGGGCGTGTCCCAGTGATGCTCTCATGGATCTCATCCGGTTCATCTCACTCTGTGTCCCCTAAGGCCACTGGGTGTTACAGTGGTGCTAGTGTGTCTCCTTTAAGGAGTCTAATACGTCAACATAAGCCAGACAGACAGGCCATCGAGAGGCAAACTTCCTTTGAGAATAAATGACTGTGCTTGTTAATAGGTTTGTGGAAAACAATAGCTGAGGGCAGTTGGTTCCTAACACACACTTTCTGTTGTGAAAAAGCACTGAGGCAGGATGGAGCTAGTCAAGACTTCCAAACACTCCCCAATTCTCGTGGGACCAGGACCACAATAGATTTGTTGTAGTGGAACTAAATTTATGATTCATATGCGGAAGGTATTCCGTTGTCGGCAGTTGAGTGGTTGTTATTTAGTTAGTTTTTCAATGAAACGTATGATAAACAAGTTCATAGTTCCCTGTAGTGTTGTTGAGACACATTTCTGTGAATACATTTATTTAACTGTACATTTCAGTTCTTTTAAAAGGACAGTGCAAAAATGAACTGTCTGCCACGATTTACTCACCTTCCTGTTGTTTCAAACTCTCTTTCTTCAGTGGAATGCAAAAGAAGATATTGTGAAAATGTCTCAGGCTCCTTTATTGTTTTGTCCTTCAAAAAAGTCAGTGGGGTCCAATGTTATTTTAAGATAACAATTAATATCTAAATTATCTTACTTTCTATTGCATTCCACTGATAAAAGAAAGTCTTTGGTTTTGGAACAACAAGAGGTGAGTTTATGGAGCAGAGATGGTCAATAAGCTGAAATCCTTAGCGAACAACATGTTGTTTACAGATGTTTTAAATAATTTAAATCGTTATGTTAACCTTTTGAAGAATATGAATGTAAAATTCTGGTCCAAAACCTAGTGAGCTGCCTTACCATCTACAAAGACAGTTGCCATCTAAGGGAGCATCCTGAAATGGAACCTTAAAAGTGAGTGATTTGGATCCCTCAATATCACAGAAATATAACTCCACACATACAGTGAATGACATTAACAATTTGAATAGAGGTAAAGCAAAAGGAACAACACGCTACTCTACTATGCATAAATATACAGTGCCTCCAAAACAATGTTTTTAAATGCCCTATAGGCAAAGTTGGGGTTTGGACAATATCAGCATAAATCCTTTTTTAAATTTGCCTTGAAAGGTGAAAACAAACTATTAAAACAAATGTTATTGGCCAAAAAAATGATAAATAGAAAATGGAAACTTTTATTTATGCATTTATGCAACCTTTTTTTATTTTATTAATTACAACATATAAAATATTTGTATATTTATACCAAGAAATGGTGCATGCTGATTTTGTCCAAAAACCTCACTTTGCCTGGAGTGTTTCAAAACATTTTTCAACTCTTTCATGGTTTTAAAACTGTATTAAAATAATAATAATAATTATTATTATTATCGTTAATTACAATATTTATTATTATGATCATTTAATAATGAAAAAATATTTAATAATTATTTATTTAATATTATAAATTATAAATATTTAAAAGGTATTACATTATTATTAATTTTTTTCCCTGGAAATTACTATTTAAAAACCACCTAATTTTTCCAGATTTTCCCTGATCATGGCAGATTGCAGGAATGGACCTTGTTTGAGCAGACGGGATGCAAATGATTATAAATTGGGAGCAGATGGACATGAAGTAAAATTCCCGGGTGCCTTCGGAATGAAACTTGCTGGAGTTGGATGGAAAAAATCCGTCCTGTTGTAGAACTCTACACTCCAGTTTAACTAGTCTGAAGCTGAGAGACTGTGAACTCCTGAGTGTGTCTGATTATAAAGTGCTGTGTGTGTATTTGTGTGGGTTGATGTGTGTTTAAAGAGTCAAGACTTATTCTCTCGGCAGAAGCCAAAACTATGTATGTGCGTGCGTGTGCATGATACGTGTCTCAACCAGACGGAGGAGGGTGTATTTTTAGTTGGGACTACACTCTCTTATAATGAGCAAACCCCCACTGCGATGCCGACACCTCACTGAAACACAGAGATCACAGTGAGAGAGAGAGAGAGAGGGCTACCAAAAGGGAATGCAAGATGATAGCAAAAAGTTCAAAATGACAGACCAAATAACACAGACGAGGATACAAGAACAAACAAACCAAAAAAACTCAATAGGATTACGCACATGAATTATAAAACTCAACATTAGCATGAACCCATTTGAATATTTCTAGCACCTCTGTGATGTTAACCAACAAATTAGAGGAAAGCCACATTTGTTTCTTATTTCTGCATATGGCAAGCGCTATTCTAACACTAAGACAAAGTCAAACGTTGCGAGCAGAGGGAGTAAACTCACTGGTACGACTCATTGACATGGTGATTGATAACCGGCTAAGCTACACAAGGACGACCATTGATTTTGTGATGAGCTTGTGTGGATTGAGCACTTGATTGACAAAGAACAGATCTCGTGATTCAGAACTTGCAGTTTTGAATTACTAACAATGACTAACAGTTGATTTGGTCACTTTCACGTCCACTTCACACTTTTAAAAGCCCTCTAAATAGAATAGTCAACTGTAAAACATCTATAAGATAATTAAATATTTGGCATTGCAAAACAATTTTTTCATCATAATGCACTGATCTTAATTGACCATGTAAAGCCTTTTTAATGCAATGGTACAAAAATCTACAAAAAAAAAGTTTGCATATGTGTTTTTGTTGTGAAATTGATCAGGCTTTTATGGCTCATATACAGTAGTATTAAATGCAAAATATGAAGCTCATACTCGAGGAGTAATTTTTAAAAAAAAATTGCAGAGTAAAAACAGGAAATTTACTGCAGTTGCTATTTATATGGACAAAAAGTAAGATGAAATTCCAATAGCTTGTTATGTAAATCAATAAGATATTTAACAGTATAGACTACTTACAGACTACTAACATAAAATACATTGCACTCTTTTGTCACTCTATATCTTACAATAATATGTCTATGTAAGATGATATTTAAATATATGGACAACCAAGTAAACCTAAGTTGCTAATAATATACAATTATACTAAAAGGCCCTTAACTTGAAAAAAGAATAATCAATCAGATGACAAGGCATAGATTGTGTACAACAGGTTTTTCAGCAACGTGTTGAGGTTGACAATTTAAAGGCCTTAGACATTTGTGTATCAAATTATTTATAGGGTTAAACGTTCAGCAATGGAGAAATACATTTTCCCCCAAATGGTGTAGTTGCATCTACCAGCAGGGGCAAACTGTCAAACACTAACAAATCCCTTATTTTGACACCCATTTAGAAAGTAAACTGTATGTTTGAAACAAGCCATTACCTTTTGTCAGTGGGAGGTGTTTCCTGGTTGGCTGGTACCTCCTGTAGATCTGGAAGGTTGGCGAAGTCATCTTGCTCAGCCAATCCGATAGCGAGGGACAGCACAACCATCTTCCCCTCTCTGTCCCAAAACAAAGAGGCAGAATCAAACAAGTGGTGAGCAGAACCCATTACTTACTATCTATCTATCTATCTATCTATCTATCTATCTATCTATCTATCTATCTATCTATCTATCTATCTATCTATCTATCTATCTATCTATCTATCTATCTATCTATCTATCTATCTATCTATCTATCTATCTATCTATCTAACATTAAATAACACTGAAGACTGAAGTAATGATGCTGAAAATTCAGCTTTGTCATCACAGAAATAAATACATTTTAAAATATTCAAACAGAAAATACAGTTATTTTAAATTGTAATAATAGTTTACAATATTACCGTTTTTTAAAAACTGTTTCCCCCCCTATCCAAAGGATTTGTGAATCATAAAGGATTTCTCTCTAGTATTTTGAACGCTTCTTCTAGACAAAAAGAGTCTGAAATCAAATCTCAGAGATTTTAACACAAACTCAAATTTTCCAGTTATCTGAGATCCTCTTTCCACATTTACTTTAATGCTCTGTTGCTATAAAATGCAGTAACTTAGAAACAACTGAGACAACATTAATGCTTAAATGAAACACAATAAAGATCACCATTATGTCTCATATTATTGCAGAGAAAGAGGAATAGAAAAATCACTAATGAGTCTGCAGTTAGATTAAACGGAGAGCAAATGGAGAACTTCAGTCGAGAGCTCTATAATGTCTCAAACTTTGTCAAAGATGCAAATGCATGCAAAAAATAGAGATCTATGAAAGAATCTTTGGAGAGACCTCTGAAACAAAGTTGACACCAATATGAAACATAACTGCGAACTCCATTAAATCTCCTGAAGAATGAAAGGCCAACCACTGAGCAATACATTATCCGGTAGGATCTTTCTCTCTAAACCACAAATTTCCCCCCTTCTCTCATTAATCAACAGGTTTTATAACGATTTACGCTCATAAAGAAATTGGCAGACTGGCATGTAAAACATGCTTTGCTGGGGGCTACGACAGAATCAGTGTTACACAGGAGCGCACACACACACACACGCGTTTATCGATTACAGTGAGTCTAAAACATCACCCTTACAAGGGCTGTAAATGGCCTTCACAAGAGGCATCGGCTCAAATTCACAGCAGGGTCCTAAAGGGAGATTCGTGTCTCCTCTCTGATTTCATCTGCAGATAGCAAGAGTGGTCAGGGCCGTGTGCATCATAGCAAAGGATTGATTGAGCACTGCACACAAAATGCTCTTGGTAAACTTGAATAGAAACAAAGGGCAGAGATGCATGGAAAACCTGCCGAAAAGTAATATTAATATTTTTCCCCAAAAAATATTTTAATATACATTTTTATATAGGCTAAATTGGATTTTAAAACTGTATTTTATACATAGAAACTATTTTTTCAAATTTAATTTTGCAACAATTTTTTAAATAAATGTTCTTGTTGTGAAATAAAACTCGAAAAATGTATTAAAACAATATATATATATATATATATATATATTATAAATTACAAATCTATCTTTTTTGTTTAAAAATAATAATTGTAAACTTCCCTTTTGTCTATATTCACAGAATATATACATCTGTTCACCATTGATTTGTTGTTGTGTGCGTTGAAATCAATAAAGCGCAGCACTGCTAAGGTCCACTAGAGTAAAACCTCAGCGCTCACGAGGCCAGAGCTTCACGGCTCCAGCGCTATACAGCACAAATCACTCACGTCGCCTGAGCAGGCAGGAGCTTAATTGCCTGTCAGACAATCATGGTATCAGGGAATTAGAGCTGGAGCCGGTTACAGTTACACAATCCAGTAAAGTGAAAGATTATTGCCAGTGTGCTAAAGGATATTAACTGTGCTGGAGATTAAAATCGAAACTTGTGACACACAAATATTAAATCTACACGCCTCACACATTTACACTATACCAGTCAAGAGTTTGGACACGCTCACCCATATTCATATTTGATTACCATTTTCAACCATTTTAGGATAAATATGGGCTTCTTGTTTGGTACAGCTCTAAAATAAAATAAATAAAATAATGTTTCTACTAAATAAGCAAATACCTTTACATCAAATGCTTTTAAGATAATAAGAAACACAAATTCACTCAAGTGTGTCCAAACTTTTTAATTGGCAGTGTGAACAAACAGGGAGATTAAAATGTCTTTCTGTTTGAGACGTTGTCTGCAGGTAGAGCACAAGTTGTGCTCTTCACTGTTCCCGCAACAATAATGGCAGAAACTCTAAAATAAAACAAAAATGGCAAGTTTTATATGACCAAATGGAAATCATACTTGCTTCCTTAGACTGGGTGTGAACTCTCTCTCTCTCTCTCTCTCTCTCTCTCTCTCTCTCTCTCTCTCTCTCTCTCTCTCTCTCTCTCTCTCTCTCTCTCTCTCTCTCTCTCTCTCTCTCACTCTCTCTCACTCTCTCTCACTCTCTCTCTCTCTCTCTCTCTCTCTCTCTCTCTCTCTCTCTCTCTCTCTCTCTCTCTCTCTCTCTCTCTCTCTCTCTCTCTCTCTCTCTCTCTCTCTCTCTCTCTCTCTCTCTTAATCATGCTAGTAATGATGGTGAGGACAGGAGATCAATACTGTGTAGAGTTGATCTGCCAGCGGAGAACACATACTGACTTCTAAACCATTGACCACACACACACAAACACACGCAATCACCTATAGGGATCGTAAACTGCTAAATGACCTTGGTACAGATACACACTCAAACAGGCTTGTGTGTAAGATTGTAGACACACAAACACACGCACAGAATTGAATTTGTAAATTTGTTAAGATAATAGAAAAGCAGTTACTTCATTCATTCATTCTTCTCTTTTCTGTATTCACATAAGTGAATGGGTTTCATGAAAGATATTGGATATTTGATTTAGTTGTTAAGACCTGATTTTCTTGGCTTTGCTTAGGGTTAGCTCTTCTAACAATATGGTGTTGACTGCACCACTATTCCACGGCAGTAAAGAAATTAGAAGTTCATTTATTGGTAACACTTTACAATAAGGTTTCATTAACATTGGTTAATGTATTAACTAACATAAACTAACAATGAGCAATACATTTGTTACTGTATTTGTTAATCTTTATTAACGTTAGATAATACAAATACAGCTGTTCATTGTTTGTTCATTTTACTTCACAGTGCATGAACTAATGTTAACAAATACAACTTTTGATTTTAATAATGTATTAAATGTTGAAATTAACAAACATTAATAAATGCTGTAGAAGTGCAGTTCATACTAAAATGGTGAGCTTATTTTGTCTATTAGATTGAAAGATCTGAAAAAGCCCATACATTTATAACACCGATAGACAGAAAAGAAAAAGAAATCAGGACAGATGGAAAAAAAGAGACGAATTAAAACACCAGCTGTAACCGGGAATGTGTCTCCCTCGTCTACTTGTGATCTGATCGACCAAAAAGCATCTTAATACCAGGTGTAAACAGGGCCACAGACGTGGATAAACACTCATCTATTATGTAAAGAGGTTCCCTCCTCTACGACGCAGATCGAAATTTGTGTCCGCTTAAAGATAAAGATAGACACAGTTGAATAATCCACGTCCTCTGGCTCTTCTTCCACCCTGCGGTGCACAGGTGACAGGTGTGGAGCCATGAAGAAGACGCTCAAACCAAACAGATGGGCAAACAGAGAGAGAGGCAGAAGGGCGCAGAGAGAGACGGGACGCAATCAGGCATGAGTAAAGCGACAGAGCACGACGAGAAACAAAGTGCCTGGGCAGGCATGAGCAAGCAACAGTGCGTAAGAGAAGTCATGAATCAAGCATGACCAAGTGACAGAGCGTAAAGAAAGGACATCGCATGATCACAGTCCTGCTCAAAAGACACACATGTGGTGTGTTTTGTGATGCTGGAGTCTCCATCAGGCTTCCTAACTAGCATAACCAACACAAGGGAGAAATTGAATCAATAACCCTGGAGAAATTTGGCTATTCTAGCATTCCAGACAGACCTACTGTAAACCAGCATCTAAATCTACTCTGGTTTGAACTGGTCTTTTCAGCAGAGTAAATACAGGGGGTATCCACACGAATATTACAAGGATTTGCTTGGGGGCAAAAACATCAATCATATTCTGCATTTATTAGAAATGGGGAAGTTACTATGGAAGCATTAATAAAGTGAGTGGTGTAGCAACCTGCAGTTCCTCAGACAGACGTAAAGATTATAAACAGAGTAAAGATGGTGAATATGGTGAATATTCACACAACCAGCCGCACATGCATGGGCTCCAGAAACAGGACTATTTACAGCCCCTAAACAAAACAAAAAAAACACTGATACAGTTAATACTTGAACAACAAACACTAATACAACAACCAATACAAAACCATATTTTTATATTATTGCTATATCTTGCTATTGCACAATATCCAGAGCCATATAAAATTCAGAGAATCAAAAACTCTTTTACAAACAAAACATTGGCATATAACGCAATAAATAAATAACCTTTAAATCAAGCAATAAATGACTTAAGTCAAAAGTTATTTACGGACTCACAAAATAATAAGAAAAAGAATTAAAATATATAATAAATGAAATTAATTAAAACAATAAATAATTATTTAAAAAGTAATTATAATGAATCGAGACAGCGTGATGTCAATATTTATTATTTAAATAGCTTTGGATAGTAAATTAACATTGGTTTTCAACAAATAAAATGTAACATTTTGATTTAAAATGTTTTATTTAATGTAAAACTATGAATATTATTAATATAATTTAATATTGAATAAAAATTATGCAAAATACAGTTTTATACGGGATAAAATACTGTACATACAATTTCTGAATATAGGGTACATCTCTCTCACCTCTTTATTTTTATTTTTTTGAATGCCCAACTTCAGCTTCAATCACAACACAAGGTTCTCTAGTGTGTATAATATAGCGGATAATTAAAATAACTCCACCATTATCCTCCGTTCAACACCCTGCATCCAGTACAATACTGTCTGGAGTACCACATGCATGAAGTAAAATTCAGGAGCAACTAATCAAGTCTTGGAGGATGAGCTGCTAAAACTGAAGACATCATAACAGTGGAAGGAAGCAGATGAGCATCATGGGTAAGTCCACTTAGAGACTAAATAGATGCATTACAGATGCATGTTCCAATATTTGAAGTTGATATCACAAATATTGAGCCCGCCAATAGGTTTTAAAGCACCATTTCCATGGTAATGCAACGTCCAATTTCACAACGTTTTTCATAGGATGAATTTTTGAGCGATTAAGCTTTCGAATGATTATTTATGATGATTGCTAAAATATGTGATCTGGAAAAAAGGCAATAAATAAAGCGCTACAGGGACAATGAAATTTAACATTTAGCTATGATAACGGTAAGAAAGGATTTTTTAAAAATGATTAGATTGGTATTTGATACTCACAGGAATGATTTGACGTCCATGCCTCTGGTCCGGATCTGTCCCATCACGTGGTCAAAGCTTCCAGGATTGGACCGCGATCGTGCCCCTCCACCCGACCTGTAGCGGGACGCCCCTGCCCCAGCCGGGCTACCACGCACCCCCCGCGGGCCCCCCCGGTGGCCCGCACCCACGGGCCCGGTGTGCAGTTGGCCCAGACTCTGGGAGGTGGCTGGGGGGTCGTTGGGGCCTGGCGGGGGCTGGTGGGTTAGGGGCTGCTGGAGGCTTTGCTGCCTGACCAGGGGCCTGGGGCGGGCTGCTGAGGACGGGATATGCTCCAAAGTGGAGGTGGTGGAAAGAGAGGGGTCACCAAAACTGGCACCGAATAATACGAACGGGGCCAAGTTGTGGGGCAAGACAAAGACGAGAAACAGGGACAGAAAGGAAGTCACAAGATAAAGGGAAGAGAAGGTAGACACGATTAATGAAGACCAAAGAGACCGAAGAGGACAAGGGAGAGGAAGCCAGACACAAAAAGACGACAGAATGAGGAATAGTGTTGGGACACAGAAGAGAAACAAACAAGACCATTGAGTTGAGGGAGGGAGGGAGGGAGGGAGGGAGGGAAAGGTAAGAGAACGTGAAGGAACAGACATTTTAAGATGTCCATTGGGGGGACAAAGGCACAATGAGGGAATGAGGGAAGAAAAAGAGAGTAAAGTTAGGCAGCAACATTAGCAAAATGTGCAACATTAACTTACACACGCATTCGCCCATTTTCCACTGACCGGATGACGGTGCTGGTACCAGAGCCTCTGGACAATCTTGAACTGGATTTTTACCACAGAAAACGGTTTTGATTTATTTGTTGCATAATTCAATTACTGACTGTAGCAACTTCAGATGTCATAAAAATATGTCCGTAAAACTCGCAAGACCTGTAAACAAAAACCACAATAAAGTCCACACCGGTTCTGACAAGATTCACAGCTCCTCCGGGACGAGCACCTGCACCATTTCAATGGAAAAGGGGTAATTGCTTTTCTTGTGGCATGGCCTGATGAAGGAATATGTCTTGTAGACTCAACTTCCTCCCACTAAAGATCACTATACATCTACTTCGTTTCTATGTCTTCAATATCTTAATTCAATTATCACTTCTACCCATTCAACCCTTCCCAACAGCTTCCTTTGCTCTGCATCATGTCTGATTAGTGTAAAGTCCCATTGAGCTGTTCTGTTTGATGCTAATGCTCTACTGGAGGATTGACTGCACCAGGGTTAAGCGCCACACAGCCTTATCAAAGTCCCAGTGCTGTAATTCTCGCACGGTACTCAAGGGAGGCGTCCCTATACAGACAGTATTTGTGAAGGGAATGAATAGCAGCAATAACTCAAACTCTGCCACTACACTTTTTATACACGTTTCAAGGTTGCAAAAGGAACAGCGGCGCATTAATGGACATGAATTCATGTAGATGAGTTAAATGAAAGAGTTACTACTGTGATTGTCTTTTGAATGTTACAGTGGAAAGCTAGTATGATTGTTAGAGTTGGTGAGTAGGCATTTCTTACTACAGGACATGACATGATTTAGCCAAATAGGACGCATTCCTGGATCAACATCCTTTGTCCTTCTTTCTCAAACTATTTTGTGGCTGATTGGTACAATCACATTTGTATGTTTTCATACAATCTGCGTATGCCCCAGTGACGATTACATTTAGCAGTGGGGTTAGCTTCATGAATACCTTTTTCTAAAAATCGTACGTTTTCATAGAAAATGCCACCTGGTGGAAGACATGTTTTCCCGTGAGATCGGGTTGAACCTTAACCACAACTCTAAGTAAGGGTTATGGTTATAGCCCAAAACCAGCCCTACATGCCCTTTTACATGACTCATGTCAAACTTGCCCAATGCATTATGGAGTGAAGCCACACTGTGTGCAAATGACATTCAAATTTCAAACAATTTCTGCAATGACTTCTGAAGTGTAGCTAATGATTACCAGGCAATTTGCATGATAGATCATGGCCGGTGCCAACACAAATAATCAAAAGCAGATACGTCGAGTATATGTATAACACAACGAAGGGCTAAAAAACGAGCATTATTTGTGGTTTAGTTATGATTTTTACTTTTCCTGCATTTCCTACCTTTTAACTTATAGCACTGCTTTTTTATATTTACAATAAAATGTTGGATTTCCATTACAGTTTTTTCTTGTTTCCTTTACAAAAAGTAACAAACTGTAAATTACAGTTCCATAAATTCAAAAACACACCTTTGCTGGAAAACAAGGGATAATGATATAAAATATTACTGGCTGATTTGTAGTGTTCAGCACCTTCAATACTTCCAAGACAAAACTTTGTTACTTGTAGCTAATGTTAGCCAACAAGATACAATTATCTTATTGAAAAATCGGTAGAATTATCTGATATATTCTGAGACTGATAGTAAAATAGCACAATACCTGGACGTCAAAGCAGAGCATGGCTCTTGTTTTGAGAGTTGAACTGAAGGCCTGAAGTGAGTCATGTGAAAGTGTCTTTAGATTAACCCTCACGCTAAAATCTGATTGATTGATTGATAGCAATTTTGTTCTGACAAGGAAGTTGGTACATGAACATATCCTATTTTAAATCACATTATGCCACAAGTATGTTGCGACGGCACTTGTTTCACACATGACTTTTATCATACGATTCCATACATACACACATACATACATATACATATATATATATGCGCATGTATGCAATGCAGTATATCATCCTGCACTTACACCCATTATGCAGCTTGAGCTGTCATTAAGGAACTTACGTTCCTCATCTACTTGTTTTCTCATCTCTGCTTCAGTTCTGTGTTATAAATAGGTTTTGAAAGCAAGGAAGAAAAAGAAGTGTGTGGGGGCTGCGGACTCAGTCGAAGCAGTGATCAAAGTGAGAAAACACAGAGGCAAAAGAAAGCGTCAAATAATGAAAAAATACAGCTCCCCAAAAGAAGCATCATTGTTTTAGAGAAAAAAAAAAAAGAAGGTTTTTCTGGTTGGATTCATCTAGCCGCTGGCCCTTGCCAGACATGAATACTGTGTGAAATTCGACATTAAAGTACAAACGCTTTGTTAAAGACCGGGCTCGAAAAACCAATTTTAGGCAATTTTAGGCCAGTACTTCCTCAGATGAACTTAAAATATTCAGTGGCTAACAGTGCACATCAGTGCACATCACATTAATAAAGCTTCTGTCACATCCTCTGTAACGCAGGGGCAAATTCATATTAGAAAGATATAAAGGATCTTATCCTCTCATGGCTAAAACTAAGTTTAATAAATCAATGTATTTGCTAGTCTCACCTTAAAGGAATAGTTCAATAAAAAAAAAAATAATACTGTCATTATCGACTCCACTTTTATTATAAGGAAAACAGTGGCCAAAAATAAAAATATATAAAAAATAAAAAAAATACATAAAAATAATAATAAATAATAAAAACATTAAAAAAATAATAATAATAAAAAATAATTAAAAAACCCCATAAAATTAATAATAAATAAAAAATAAATAAAAAATAAATAAAAAATAAATAAAAAATAAATAAAAAATAAATAAATAAATAAAAAGCCAAACAGGCTATGGAACAAGTTGATTAAACAATTTTAATTTGTGTGTGAACTATTCCTTTAACTGTTCTCTTTCACTGTGCTACATATTTGGTTAGTGAGGAAATACCTAACCTTTGTTGTCAAGAAAAATCTTTCTCAGGACAACTCTCAAAGCAATCCTGACAAACACTAACATTCTCATCTACACTCATCCAAACAAGGCTTGAGGGAGAAGTGTTGGTGATTCTTAGAGTCCTTCAGTAAATCCTTAGGCTTTAGCAGAGACCTGTAGTTGCTTGTTATTACAAAGCTTCAAGACATCAGTGAAACAAAATGTTCTAAATTTCAGGTGTCTCCATTTTTAAAATGCTGATGATCACACAATAAAGCCCACTTGACATCACATCATAGGCCTGGGCGAGATGATGATTATGCGGCAGATCAAATTAAGCAACATTGTGAATATAATATTGTTTTAATGTGCTTTTAATTACTATATTTGCTAAAGGAATATTTAGAAATATAAAACGGATACTTCCTACCTGCACACTAATGCAAACTAAATGAAGAATAATATTTTTTGTGAAGCATCTGACATCATAACATAATTTTCTTTATGATGGGGCTATCATATCTCTTAGTCCTAAACTTATCTGATAAAACCCCCAGCCAGCTTGCATTGAAAACAATCAAATATGGTTCATTTCTTGAAAGGTATGATTGACAGCTTGATGTCATAAATGTCAGTTCACCCAGCTCAAAAACGAGCGTAACGCAAATGTACAGAAAGCATGTCAATATGAGCATCTCTCCTACACTGTCACTAATATAAACCATTATAAATTATAAATTTGGAATTATAAACCAAATTCATCTGATTGGTCTATTATTTTAAAACTGACATTGATTCACTGTGTCAAACAATAAACTATTTTTAATGTGAAACTGAAAAAAGTGATATTTGTATATACCAACAACAATTATTACTATTATTACTTTATATTATTGTACCACTGATGTTTTCCAAAAGTCAATGCATCTCCAATTAACAGGGTTTATTCCATATATGTAGGCCTATGAACAATGAATTTACCTGCTATTCTAAACTAAATTTAATGTTTCTTTCACTGCATGCATTTAAAGCAAATGCTTGCTATTTAAAGGAATAGTGATTCTGTCATTGTTCACTCGCACACATATAATTCACACACACACACACACTACCATTAAAAAGTTAGGGGTCAGTAAAAAAATTATTTTTGAAAGAAAATGTTTTTTTTTTATTAGCAATGTCACAAAAGACTTCTATTTAACATGCATGCATGTTAATCCTTTGACTTTTTTGTTAATAAAAGAATCCTGAAGAAATCTGTTTTCAACATTGATAATAATCTTAAGCAGCAAATCAGCATATTAGAATGATTTCTGAAGGATCATGTGACTCTGAAGAGTGAAGACTAAACGTAATGATGCTGAAAATTCAGCTTTGCTCCACTGGAATAAATAACATTTTAAAATGTATTCAAATAGAAAACAGTTATTTTAAATTTGCAAAAATATTTCAGAATATTACGGTTTTAAATAGAGTCTTGGTGAGCTTTCAAAACCATCTTACTGACCTCAAACTTTTGAAAGGTAGTGCACAACACATGTGCGGGCCAATGACATTTCATGAAATATGTCAACTAATCTTAAGACTATGGGCGACTTTTATGGTGCTTTATTGTCCTTGACAGTCGTGGTCACAGTCGTATGGAAAAGAGCATGGTAAAATCTCTTCAAAAATGACAAAAGAATAGTTCACACCACCAAAACATCAACATTTAACTAAACCATTATGCTGGTTCTCGCCCCAAACTTCTTAAAAGGAAAAGAAGTCATCCTCTGACACTCACTTGTTGGGTCTCAAGCTGCCGGAGTGCAGGTGGCTCTGGACAGTTTGCCACCTCCCGGACTTGCTGGTCCCTGCGCCTATGCAGCTGTCACTGCGACTGGGACCCCCCACTGCCCCCCCACCCGCCTCCCCCTTCTCCAGCGATCCACTGAAAGAGGGGAGAGAGAGATAAGGAGATATGCAAGAACAGAAACGACAGGAGAGTTTGAAGGAGAACGAAAGATTCGGACAGAAGGAAGAGGAACAGATTGTTCAGAACCCTTCAGGCAGAGCAATAAGCAACAGTGGTAGAAAACAATCCCGCTCGAGTCCCAGCTGTAAAGCAAGCAGGTGTAACGGGAACCTAGACGGTAGGGGTCTGAAGGGGGCAGACGCTCGGGTGCTGAGAGAGCAAGCAGATGGGTCTGATTTACAGGGAACATAGGCGGACAGTTAAAGGCAGGCAGGTGTTGCTGGAATTGCATCCTATGTTTGCTATGTCACACACTTAAGAAAAGTAATGTTTATGTATAGACTGTTCCTGCAAGAAGCCAAATAAATTGCAGGGTGGGAATTTGATTAAAAGATCTATTTTTTCTTGGTCTGAAAGAAAATGTAAAAATATTGTACACCTCAGTGTTTTATATAGTGCTGCACGATTTGGCCCTGAGTGATTATTAAACAGCTCAAGGCTACAATTTAATACATTCTAGAACAGAATATAGTTTAGCTGTTCAGAAACACTAAAGATGGCCCCGTAAAGGACAGCTTTAAGACCAAGCCTCCGCAAGTGGTAATCTTACTATAGTAAACGCCTTTTTACCAACATCCAGACTTTTAGTGAATCAGGTAGGACTACTATGACTCTCATGATTTTATGACTCTCTAGGTAATTAATTTGCATGAGAAAGGATGAAAAGTTTTACTGTATGCAATTTTACTGTATGAAATTTGAATTATTTATTAGTTTATTCAATTAAATATTCAAGTGGACTGCCCTATTCAAACGCGTAAACCAGCCTAAGTTTGCTGGTCTTATCTGGTTTAAGTACACCTAAAACTATTACAAATATTTTCTTTTATATTTATATAATAATTTCTTTTTCATTATCAAAATATTTTTCATATATATAATTTTCGTTAAAGACTAAAACTGAAATAAAAATAGGATTGATACAAATGACAAAATCACATAACAAAATGACTAAAACTTAAAACTATGAAAATAACACAATAAAATCTAATTCAAAATATGAATAAATACTATAATAGTGGATAAATAACACTAAAATAATGCAGAGCTAAGCCAGGCGGCCAGCTGGTCTGCTAGCCTGACCATCTGAAAAGCAACAGACCTGACTAACCGGTTTAGGCTGGTTTAAGATGTTTTTCCAGCATAAAGCTCAGTGTGAATTCTAAGAAAGCTGAGTTGGATTTCATTCACTTCACTTTTGGGTCAACTGAACGCAGTGGCGTAGGTTTGATTTTGAAATTGGTGGGGACGGGGACATCAATATTTAATATATTTAAAGTTTTGATAGAAAATATTGCTAGGGATATATCAGTGTCACTGGATATTGGTAGGGACACGTCCCTAGCGTCCCTACTAAATTCTACGCCCCTGACTGAACGAGAGAAGAAGAGAAGTTCAGCATGAAGAGTAATTCATTCTATCATCAGCAGAGCGTGTTTAATACACAGCTTCATTTACAGACAAAAGCCTTTGTGCGCTGGTTTGCAGTTTTTGCACGTGCTGTTTAACATGAGAGCTGCTGTTTCAATGACATTTTATACCCTTTTCTTTTGGCTTTCAAATCACAGTACTTGTCAAAATAATTGCAATATGATTATGTTTTTACCAAATCGTGCAGCCCCACTTCTACATGATTCAAATCACGTGTACACTATTATTCAAAAGTTTGGAGTCAATAAGATTAAACAAGGATGCATTTAATTGATCAAAAGTGACAGTAAAAACAATTAAAAATAGATTTCTATTTCAAATAAATGTGGTTCTTTTGAGCTGTCAATTCACCAAGGAATCCTGGAAAAATGTCTCACAGTTTCTACAAAAATATGAAGCAGCACAACTGTTTTCAACATTGATATTAATAAGAAATGTTTCTTGAGCAGCAAATCAGCATATTAGAATGATTTCTGAAGGATCATGTGACTGAAGACTGGAGTAATGATGCTGAAATTCAGCTTTGCATCACAGGAATAAATTACATTTTGAAATGTATAAAACATAGAAAATTATTACACATTTTTTTTTCTGTTTTTATTTGTTCAAATAAACGCAGCCTATGAGCAGAAGAGACTTCATTCAAAAAAATATTTAAAAATCTTACCAACCCCAAACTTTTGAAAGGTAGTGTATGTATAATTGGGAAAATACTACATCTGATCAAATCCATATTTTGACATCATTCATTTCTATCAGTACACACTGTATAAGCGGTACCGGCCACCAGATCATATTGGGTTTCCCCATCGCGTATTAATCATTCTTGCTTTCCCTTAAAGTGAGACAGGGACTGACGTTCACTAAATCTGGACAGTACAGTGACAGAAGAACTGATTACACAGCGACGGCAGAGACAGACTAAAGGTTAACACTTCAAACACAGGTGTCGTGACTAGCATAGACGGCAACAGATCGACGACAGCCACTTAAGACACAGATGACCCATAACGCAACATTTGTGCATCAACCTCAGGGGGTGGACAGGAACAGAGGGGGCTTGACATTTGTTAAAGCAGATGGCAAGGTTGCTGACTGCTGTAATAGTGTGTATCTTAATTCTGTCACTTTTTATTCTATAGTCTTTAAAGATCTCCTTATTAAAGGTGTTCACACTGGCAGCGATTTGCCGTGACTGGTCAGCATCAAAGAGATAAAAAAAAAATACAAATAATTCACAGAAATGGTGGAAAAGTTTCACTGGTGCTCTCTGTAAGGGGATCTGCAAACTGCCACGTTTACACCAGTTATTGTTTACTCAAAAACTATTAAAAACAAAACCATTTTCATTAATTAAATTAAAGATGAAATAAAATAAAATATACTAGATGAAAAAAAAAACCTTTAAAAACTTAAACTTAGAAATGTAGGAAATTAAATAAAAAGGTTTACATACAAAAATTACTAAAACTAAAATTAAACAAATTATATAAAAAATATATTTATATTATGATATACTGACTATTTAGAGTTGTAAATAACTAGCTACCCTACAGTATATCAACTGGACGACCTTTATCGATTTATTGGCTGTCAGTGTGAATGCACCTTTAAAGGATTAGTTCACATTTAAAAAAACTTTTGCTGATAATTTACTCACCCCCATGTCATCCAAGATGTCCATGTCTTTCTTTCTTCAGTCGAAAAGAAATTAAGGTTTTTGATGAAAACATTCCAGGATTTTTCTCCATATAATGCACTTTACTGGGCAGCAAACGGTTCAAGGTCCAAAAGACAGTTTCAGTGCAAACTGCAAACTGTTCAAATGGTTTTAAATGACACCAGACGATGAATAAGGGTCTTATCAAGCGAAACGATCACTCATTTAAAAAAAAAATAACAACGTTTAAGTTTTATAAGCTCACATGCTCGCCTTTCTCTGTTCTGTGTAACTCTCCTGTTCGAACTCGTTCATCAAAATGAACAAATCTTTTTCTGAATCAATTCGTTCATTTCGGTCGTTAAATGAATCAAATGACTCGAAAAAAGATTTGTTCATTTTGATGAACGAGTTCGAACAGGAGAGTCACGAACGTGCATCACAGAACAGAGCAAGGCGAGCATTTGAGCTTATAAAACTTAAACTTTGTTATTTATTTTTTAAATGAGTGATCGTTTCGCTTGATAAGACCATTATTCATCGTCTGGAATCGTTTAAAGCCCTTTGAACAGTTTGCAGTTTGCACTGAAACTGTCTTTTGGACCTTGGACCGTTTGGTGCCCAGTAAAGTGCATTATATGGAGAAAAATCCTGGAATGTTTTCATCAAAAACCTTAATTTCTTTTCGACTGAAGAAAGAAAGACATGGACAACTTGGATGACATGGGGGTGAGTAAATTATCAGCAAAAGTTTTTTTTAAAGTGAACTACTCCTTTAAGTACAAAAGAGCATAATAATAGACACGGAAATGCTACTAATTTATTTTATATGGTTAAAATTAAGTCAATATAAGATGACTATAATAAGTAAGATGTCCTGTAAAATAAATCTCTTAAACAGAAAAGAATAATGAAAAACTAAAATTAAAGAAGCCATCAGAAGCAGATCTCATATGTGAAGATGTTTTGTTGTAAACTCCTGAAACTGTGTCACACAGGTACATACTGAGACTCAAACTACAAAGGGGAAGTTACAGGTGACTGGAGAGACGAAACACAACAACTACCATAAAGGCACAAAAAACACAGCAACACAGCAGAAGAGCTAACGGTCAACCCTCAACTTCAATCAGGACTAGATAAGATGGCAAGAAACCAATACACTTCCAATCAAGATGTTCTTGAATGAATCTAAACCTTTCAGGTCAAAGGTCAGAGGTTTCGAGGGTTGTCCGTCTCCATGGAGACCATCCATGGGCTGGCGGTGAAATGTTATCAGTTAGAAACATTAGTGCTGCTGGCAGGGCTGTAGAGAACAGGGGGTTGAGAAGTGTTTTAGCGAATCCATCGGTCCTTTAATGGACCAGTTCACCTAAAAAAAAAAACTATTTTGTTCTCATTATCTCTTATTTTGTTGAAAGACTCTATTTATTGTACAGTAGTGCATGCAGTATGACTCATGTGCTATATTCAAAGCCTTCTGAAGTCACATGATAGCGTTTGTGTGAGGAACGGAACAAAATTTAAGTCGTTAATCTTCCCATCGCAGCTCTCAAACTTCATTTGCAGATGTGTTTTTCAAACTTGCCTCATCAAGATCCGTCACGGGATCCGAAATGAAATTTGCGAATGAAATTTGAGAGCGGTGGAAGCGCGGAAATCCCACATGGAATCTGTGCCTGCAGAAAAATTCACAGAACGGGAATGTATATCTATCACAAAGTTCGCCAAAATCAGTGCAGAAAACGAAAAAAAAAATGGCTGCAGTTTTTTTATCCACATATTCATGACTTATAGATTGTGGCACATGCCATTTATAGCATATAGTAGTCATATAGACTGCTTTTATGGTACCACCATCCTGATCTCATGAGGTGGCGATTTTGTATGATTCGTACGAAAATGTACGATACTCAGAAAAAAAATTAAGCACTTTCATTATATGGAAAAGAGGGGCCAGAAAAAAACAAATTATTCAAAAATAATAATTCAGTAGATGACTGAATAGACATCTTACTGATCATATATTGAACACACACTGATGTTATGAGTGTGTGTTTGTGGGAGTGTCTGTAATTATCACCTTGTGGATGAGAAGTGGGCAGGGACCTGCAGTCTGTATCTGTCTCCTATCAATTAGATTCTGATTTATCCAGGGAATGAATCCAGAAAGACTACTTTCCCTTGAAGATAATGACTTCAATTAAGCAATTAATTTACAAGGAAACGGCAGACTGAAGCGAACCCCGCTACCCTCTGTGGAACTCAACCCACGTTTCGCTGAGAGTGATGGGTTGACCTAAAGATTGGACGTTTCATCTCATTTCAGTCTGGATTGTGGTGTACGCTGAATGATAAAAAGCCATGGAAAATGACAAGGACTGCCCTAGACATAGCTCTTACAGATGGGGTCAGTGGGAAATATGGCTTGCCTTTTGGTGTGCTTTGTGGGTCATGCAAATTGACCTTAAAGTAGTAAGATGTTTAAAACAAGTCATCAACTTTTTCTGTCTTAAAAAAAAACGCCTTTTATAGTACCATTAGGACATTCACAATTAATTACAGTGTTCATTACTGTTATACAAAACTGTTATGTTATTATTTCTATAGTATATATGTGTGTATATATATATATATATATATATATATATATATATATACACAAAACAATAATATGTATGATATATTATATATACATATATATACTATAGAAATAATAATAATAATAATTCATGAAAAAAATTCATTACAGTAATGGAAATTTAAGGATTTAAATTAGCTTAATTGTCAAGAAAATAATGCCAAAAAAGCCAAATGAACATATTACTTGTTGCATTGATTTTATAAAGATAAAAAAACAAAAATCCAGCACATTACTATTATGGCTTGCAAAACGCCATCATTTTTAGATGATGGATGTACATGTGTATGTATGTATGTATATATAACATTTTAATATTGCATGTTATATTAATAATAAAATGTATATATTAGTATTTTTGTATTATAGTAACAAGAATTTTAAAAGTATCATAAAAATAATGCAAAACATTTTTCATTTTCTTCATGCAAACATAATTTTCCTTTTTATTTTTATTTTTTTATTTTGGGGTGAAATATGACCACGGACATTGTTTTGTGACATTTGTTAGGTGTCATGAGACACAGATAAGTCCCTGTAAGCTTTAGAGGATCGCTGAAATGGAAGACCAGAATAAAGAGGATTGAATGGACTTCCCCTTTCAGTACAGCCCTGCACAGAGAGAAGGGGTCCCTTACCAGCCGTTACCAAGACTCACTTGGGCGTGAGGCGAGGGTCTCCATAAGGGGTGTAGGGGGACATGTTGAGGATGAACTCCTTGGGTGGATAGGAGCTCCAGCGCTGCTGCACAGAACTGCTGTCGTTGTTATTCCAAAAGTCCCTGTCTAAATCACTGCAGCCAAAGAGAAAGACAGGAGAAAGAGCCACAATGAGTCAAACTGAAGGGAAATCAGAGTTCAGATAGACAGACAGCCCAGAGAGCGAGAGAAAACACTGGTGTAAGTAACTGGCAGAGTGGAACGATTCAGTCACAGAGAGACTTTTTAGGAAAGGTTTCTCTTGTCTAACATCGTTCCAGAGCTCCTGTGTTTTTAAGTGGCATAAAGTCTTGAAAAAGTAAAAGAATTCTGAACTGAAGAGATGATGTAAAAATAGCTCTGAGGGTGAGAATAAAGGGGTTTTGAGATGGATATCATGCACAAAGTCAAATATTTATTCTGTGCTGTCATTACATTCGCTTTGACTCACAGAGGATAGAGTCTTTTATAACCTACTGTAGCTACAAACTTCTAATCTCTATAAGAACAACAGAAGCAAGACAGAAAAAGTCATATCAGAGGTAAGGCATCTAATTAGCGGTGGGCGGCATGATCAAAATCATATAGTAATTGTATATATCTAGTTGTTTTATGTAAGTTTAGTAAAACCTAATCCAGTAAATACTTTACAAATGAAAGGTACTTTATCTCATTTCAGATTTTTACTTATAGCTGCAAACCACAAGATAAGATCATTCAAAACAAATGAAATGTATCATGCATAAAAAGAAACTCTAAAAGCATACTTTTTTCAAATTCCAGATCCAGGATATCCACATTAGAAAGAAGTTAAGAAATGAAGTATATTTTCAAACGGACTGGCCTGTGACACTGCCTGATGTTTAGTGGTTTCATCTGTTCTGACAATGTCAGATCGGTCTGTATTAAATCTCTAAGCCTTATAAATGAATCTACCATTTAATATTTAATTTGGGTTGATGCAGGCATTTAATATGATAATAGAACTCTGAACATTTTGGAGGTGGTCCAACGTTTTCACTTTCCATAGACTGATTTTTATACTGTACAAGCTGTATATTTTATCCCCTAACCCCACCCCTAAACACAAATCTCACAGAAAACTCATTTTTACATTTTCAAAAAATATGATTTATAAGCCATTTTCCACACAGGGACCAAAAATGTCCCCACAAGGAACAAGGATTTTGGATATTGCAATCTTTGTGGGGACATTTTGTCCCCAATGTAGGGTTTACCAGGACACACACACACAGAGGGGTACATTAAGAAACATGCAAACATGCATATAAGAAACACATGAATGTCAAGCACCAAATTATTTAGTAATTTTCACATACTATATTATTTAAATCTTATTTTTCAGATCTTTTAATGCTGCAAATTAGCAAATCTATATTGCATCATATTTCTGGCAACCAATTTCCTTTCACTGATTGGCTCATTTCTGGTGCTGCAAGCTGCTCTAATGGTCCTACTTGGAGAAATAAACAATAAAATATTTGAACATAAACGAAAATAAATTAAAATGGTGTTTTAGTGCCACTTTAAAAAATTATTTTGAGAACACAGAGTTTGATATGTATAATGCGAATAATGCAAAATGCCTGAATGGTCTTTTAAAAGTTAAAAGTTAAATAATTAAAAGTTACTATCACATTTAATTATTAAATTATTAACATTTAAATCATTTTCAACAATTTCATTTCATTATGAAAAACATCACATTGTTTTTCATACTTTACATTATGATTATATACATTTTCTCAAAATCATATTTTTTGTGTTATTTTAACATTGCACTAAGACTTACATTCACTCTAAGAAGAAAAGGTTCTATATAGAACCTTAAAAGGTTCTATCAGGCGCTACGTATTTGGAACCCCTAAAAGGTTCTATATAGAACCCCAATGAACCCTTTTTTCTAAGAGTATACACTTAAGTATTGTATGATGCATGCAAACGTTCCACTGTTGTTGTGGGTTCCAATCCTACTTTAAGAAAATAATTGTAATTCGCAGTCTGAAGAACACAAGGAAATGTGCAGCGGATTGTCTCTCCGTGCCCTTGTACGGTCACAGGTGATTAGCAGTCTGGCCTCTTGTACTGATATAAAAACAGTAGCATCTGCTGTGAGATGCATTGGTGTCTAATTAGAGCATTGTCTGATTAATATTCAGGCTGCAGTTGTTACCAGAGCAAGTGCTCCAAGTGGACCAGCTTCATTCTGCTGACCTGATAAACATCATCAAGTGTGTGAAAGCCATCATTTTGGCTTTGTTAGAAGTAATGGTATTGATATATCAATATGAACATATGGTAGGTATAGACCACTGAATAGGCAGGATGAATTTGCATATCAGGTAATGGGAATTTACTAAACCAATGTAGTGTCTGGACCAATCAGACACACAATTATTGATTAATGTGTTAAACTATGTGTTAGAGTTCTATGAACTACCCCAGAACAGCAACTAACACCGCAGGCAGAACCAGGCCTCTGGTCACCATAGCAGAAAAGGTTTTACGACCCCCTCACAGGAATGTGTACGCTCAGGAACAGGTAAAATGAACTTAGGCTTTATTTATACACGGTATGCAGACTCCAAAATAAAAGGTAAAACAAATGCTCAAAAGATACTTAGGAATACCGAAAATACCAGAAATGTCTCTTGAAGATTACTCAGGAACCAGGGACCAGAATTGACGAGATCGGACCAGGAGTGTAGGGTGACTGAGGCTTTTATGCAGCATGAGTGGCGATCATGAGGAGATGAGGTGCAGGTGATAACAATCAGGGAGAGTGCGTGCAGGTGAGGATCCAGGGGAATGCTGGGAAGTGTAGTGCGGGACAGGACCAGGGGAAACCATGACAGAATGTGGGGAGTAGCGGTCGACCAATATTGTTGTTGTTTTTTGATGGCCAATGCCAATAACTTAGAGAGCAGGGTGGCCGATGTAATATAAATATTTAGAATTAATATTTATTTATTTTAATTAGTATTTTATAAATTCAAAATAAATGTAAAAAATAAATCTTTAAAATAAACATGCTTATACTTTAAATGGCAACTTTGTGATTCTGCAATCCTATTACAGTATTTTTATAGGCCTTGGCGATATATCGGGAGACCACTATTGGGGAGAGTTTCCCCATAGGAAAGACACAAAAGGCCCATAAAAAGGATTTTTCTTTCCATTAATGCAAATGTAAACCTTCTATGAATCAACATGTACATCTCCAGGACATTGTGTGCATGACTATTACTGTCTTTTATAGAGTTTTTGTATTGTATACCATTTTATGCATGCTTTAGAACCATGCACTAGTTAATGTAACCTCACCTACACCATGTTTGGTATCTATGAATTTCTATTTTAATTATCCGAATGATTCTTTATGTAATATGTTGATACCTATGCAACATATTAATATTACAAGAATCTTTAAATGTTTCTTTCAAAACCCCATGCTCAAAGACAAAGGGTCATAAGCTTTACCTCAGAAAGTTTAAGTTAGCATTGGCTCCCTGAGCCCCTGGAGGTGTGACTTCTGTGGAAGTTGAAGGGCACCCTCTCTATTCAGCTTTTTGATCTTCCTTCTTCTGGTTGCGTGTGAAAAGACTGACAGCCGGACAGGCCTCAAATTACAACTACTGTAACTTCATTGACAATGACTGAGTCAGGCTAACATTGCAAGATCATCACCATTTCTTCATTCAATGTGGAAAATATCGATTGCAACTTCAACATCGACTTACTGAACCATCAAGACTTTCTCCTGAGACTGCATTCGGATGCTAGTTTAACGGCAAAGGCATTGCAAGTATCATTTAACTAACTAAACAAAGGTTTATAAGCAGTAGACCCCTTGTTAAGAAGGTGCTTTGAAATAAGAAAATTATGGTTCTGTTCAGATGGTTAAATGACTCTTTTCCATAGCTTCATTCCCCTGTTTCTGTTTCCAGTTTCATTCACTTTCCATTTGACCCATGTATGCGTGATTGTGTGCATGTTTGTTTAGATTAGTTATATGTTCGTTTTGGGCACATTCAAATCAACGTCCCTTTAATGATGCGATCACAGCTACATGTTAAGAAAGAGTCATTTTTCTGTGGCCACGATAAATATAATTTCTGAGAGTTGATAGAGGATCAATCAGTTCCCTGGACGAACAGATCAATTGATTGTAATATTAATTAAACTACATCAAGTTAATTCTATTAACTGATCCAAATATTTATAATTAATTATAACAAGTTATAATAAATTATTCATATTTTCGTTTTGAGCTCATTTCCTACACCAATGATTAAACTAATAAATGATATTAATTAGCTAATTATCACCAGCTGCAATACATAAACCACTTTAAATCTGCAGTACTTGTATTGTACCAGCTTACTGCACAACCCTATACAAGTGGTAGTAAGCAATTCATACACTGTATTCTTACTGCTGTTTTACAAAATATGTGAAACAATTTAAAATACTCAACAATAAATGTTTCAAATGTTAGTATGCTATTTTGTCGTAAACTAATCTCACAACATTACATGATTAATTCAGAGATTTGAAAAATTTCTGAAATAAAAACAGCTATTTTTGCATTTTGCATCGTTTTTTGCATAAAAAAATCAAATGAGTCTAGAAAAAAAAGAAAAAAAAAGTTTTTTAAAGAGAAAATAAAAAAATATGCTTCATTCGACGCTTTGAAAATGTAAGGTCAAGTCAAATTCATTGCCATATTGTGGCCGTATTGTGATCGCTGTGCACAGTATGTGAAATGTAAGTATGCACATTAACATGGCATATGGTAAATATGAAATTATTATGCCAGAATGGCATTAGCCAGAACATATTCGGTTTCTGATGTTTGCAAACAGCAAGCCAGTGTTATCCAAAGTATTGACCATGACAAATACCACAGCTGGTGTGAGAATCGAATGTAACACTTCTGACACTAGAAATATAAATTAACACTCCTGAATGAATTACAAATGAGCATGGGTTATGAAATATGTCTAAAAATGTAGAGTATGTACATCATTTACACAGTTAGCAATGTCACATTAGTGTCACGCATGTTTGGTATCCGCTATTCTTGACCAAAGTAATATTACAGTAACCAAAGACTCATTATGTTCTGTAATGAAGTGTTGCCATGTCCACTTATCAAAAGCATTTCAGGCTTGTTGTTTGAAGTTGGCTCATAAAGCGATCAAGTATATAGAGTTATTAAAGAGGGCAGATGTGATTGCAAGGAAATGAGTTAAGATGAGTTAAGGACCTATCAGCCAGTGCCATCTATAGTTTCAAGACAGAATGTATATGCCATTAACAACTAGTTCAGTTCAGTACAAACTGGATAGAACTTTTGTAAATGCGGTTGTCACGACCTGGATTTTTCTTTTTTCAATACCTTGGCATTAAATTACAGAATTGCTTTGCAGTATGCAGTGTTCCATTGTGAACACAGACCCTTTAGTTCTATTCTGAGTCCAGCACATACAACTACGAAGTAATGTTTCCCACTCATTACCAAGACATTAACTGCAATAGTTAATCTCAGCAGGAGGCACCTACTTGAGGGCTTTATTTTCTCCTCGGCCTCTCCCCGACACAGACACCGAGTCTGGGGTCCCCGCTGTCTCCACCCCCGGCTTATTCCTCATCCCCTTCAGAGAGAAAGAAAGAGACAGAAATGTAAGAGAAAAACAAAAAAAAGGATGGGAAATATTGCCTGATATCATTTGGTCAGGTGGCATATTTTAGCAAATTGCAATTGCTGCAAGTTAACCAGTAAAGTACAATAGATGCACTGATAGAGCTAATGCGCACCAACAACAGCCAAATAGAGGATTTTTACGCAGATATTAATGACAAGCCTGAGACCCTCGGGGTGTTTACACACTAGAGAAGCTGTTTTGATAGATTGGAAGGCATAAGATGTGCTTTCAAGATGTCGAAAGAGCCGGTCAGTCTGCAAACAGTCTGGAATACAGTGAATTGGATCAGCAAAAGCACAAGTGAGTTTGTTGCAAAAGTTGACATTTTCTTGAACATGACTGGGATGCCTAGGAATGCTATTTAGGTAAAGTTGTTAAATACAGACTCAGAGACTCAAATACGAACAAGCAAAAGTGGCCAAAGAGAGTGTAAACACAAGAGGGGGAAATGAACAGGCACTTGGGGCAAAAATGCCAATAAAATGTACAAAAGTGCCACCCAAATTCAAGATGAGAGGGCAAAAAGTGCACAATGAGTTTCCCCAAACACAAAAGTGCTTTGTATATTCCATTAATTAACATTGATAATCATTATTACAATATCGAAATCAATAAGTAATGATTTTTGTTGTAGTATTGCAGTATATGCCAACGTTGGGCATTTAAAGTGTAAAGATTTTGTTGATACAAAAATAGATTTTGATTCTCCCCTGGGAATCAATTCAATTCAAGTTCATTTCTGACCCTGGTAAACACACAAAGACGCACATGCATACATTCTCCACGCCCTAAAACTGAAAAGCTTCCTTTCAATGGACATTCAACCCAAAGGACTACAGTTTAGCTTGAGTAAACACTCATCCGCATCAATAATACACCATATGCAAACAGTTGTGCTATTGGCAGACAACTGAGACAACTCTACTGATCGATTCAAGCAATTACATAAAGGCTAATTACATCATTTCCTGTCTGTCAAAGATGCACTCCTCCCCCCCATCTCTTGATTGGCCAATCCATCTCAAAGTGATTCTGCAGGTGGAGTATTCATTACAAAGTCCTCTGAAAGCCATCAGCCGCCAGCAGTTGTGTAAGAGATGATAAATGATCCGAACGGGAGGAAGAAAGAGCAGCATCTTGGCCCGGGCACAGCGATAGCCTGCCAGTTTCAAGCATTTAAATTACGGCGGCTGCCAACGTGCAATCGCTCCTCTGCCATGATCTGTCTACCGATGTAATGAATAGTTACAAAAGAAAGGAAGCGAAACAATTGTGTTCATACACAGGTACAAACATCTTGTGACTTGCGACGCAAGTGCACTCATTTACATCAGGAGACGTGAGTTAGAACTTGTGCCACGCCCCACAGGATGTGGAATTAGTGTAGAATTTGAATCGGAATTACAGGAAGAGGAATTTAGTCAAATAAATTCTGCAGTCACAGAGGAGAGGTTTTGCAACAAAACAAACAACATTCATTATGACTAATTATGGCTATTTTTTTCAGAGATGTAAAATACAGTTTTTCTAAACCGTTAAATAAGCACCACAGATAAATGTTTACAGGTGTTATGTTAGCATCACTGGGATACTATTATATTTTTTTATTAACATTTTAACTATGTTGGTTGTTATATTTTTACTCATTTTGATGCATGTTTTAGTGATTTTTCATTATTTTTAAAAAAATATGCATATACAGTTTTTAATTCTTATTTCATTTTTAGTTATTTTATTACATCAAGTTAAACAAAATGAAAATTAGAAAGTAGAATAAGTTAGGAGCAGTAAAATAAGTTTTTTTATATATTTTATTTCAGTTAACATTTAAAAAAAACTAAAATGTTTTACTTTTAATTAACTATAATAACCTTGGTTTAAAGATGAATATGAATATTAATAAATTATTTAGAAATGTATTAGAAAAAAATAAACATTAACAAATTGAAATATAGATTATATCCTATATTAAATAAATTAGAGCACAATCTTCCATACAATTTAAAAACCCCATAAAATTGATCAAAGTAATGAAATATACAGTATATGAACTAAATATAAATATTTGAAACGCAAATGTTATGTCTTTTGACATACTCATGTGTATGATAATGTTTATGGTTCATTTACAGAGCAAGATGAAATGTATTACAAAGAACTACACTTACAGAAGTTCTCTTTTTTGAGCTTATTAAATCTTTATTCTACATCCTTAAATTAAAATTATGCAAAACTATGTTACACATCCATAAGAGATGTAACTCACCAGTTCTGCCTTTGAAAGACCTTTTGAAATGTTAAAAGTTCATGCAGTACTGGAAACTGATTTGTATGTAGTTCAGCTGATGTAAGGTCCATTTACATGAAGAACAATTAAAATTAATGTAATAACTGGTCTCATGCATATTATCCTGCTCATTAAAACCATGAGTCAACTTCATATGCTACACAGTTTTAAAGTTTAAAAAATTGTGCTAAAAGAGACTGTAAAATGAATCTGTCAGGCTGTATAGTTGAACTTTGCTTGTTAGATTGAACAATATGACCCCAATGAGATCTTAAAATTACTTAAACTTAAAAAAAACGTACAATCTTTGTTGCATAAATTAGGGTAATTTTAGAGATTATTACATATTCTCAGGTTCATGTATTGTTTTAGAACAACTTCTCAACTTCTCAATAAATAATATTCTGTTTCTGTTTTGGTCCTCCCCCCCAAAAATAGTAAGCACGAACCGCTAATAAGTCATACTTCTTGCATATCCTCTCACACAGACACATTTGTTTAAGATGAGATCTCTGACAGGTATGCAGTATGTGAGAGAGAAGCAAAGGGAACGAAAAAAGGAAAGGGAAACAGCAAAGACAGAGTATAAGGGGTAGGTTTTCAAACAGAATTTACAATCACAAAAGGAGAATGAGCAAGGAGAAATATGATATCATCGACTAAGAAAGAGGCTATAAGAGAAAGACAGAGGAGGGAAGAAGATTTTTCACAGGTGGTCTCATGGTGGTAGTCTCACAACAGGTCCAACTCGGCCCTCACACTGTCTGTCACATGTTAAGAGTGCTTTATTCTCAGATCTGAAACTCTCCGTCACCTCATCTGCACTTCTCACCTTCATCTTATCCGCACGATTTACTGCTGAAAAATGATTCCCCTCAGACACAACAGAAAGAAAGTGTTAGACAAAAAAAAAAGATGGACATGAAACTGTTGAAATATATAAAACTAAATAAATGTAATATATAAAATGATACATGAAATGATATATGATATGTTATAGAATGACAGACAGATGGATGGATGGAAGGAACAATAAATAGAAGGATGGATGGACGCACAGAATGATGGATGGATGGATAGATCGATGGAAAAATAGATAGAATGATGGATGGATGGAACGATATGGATGGATGGAACGAACAATAGATAGAACAATGGATGGATGGATAGAACAATAGATAGAATGATGGATGGATGGATAGAACAATAGATAGAACGATGGATGGGTGGATGGAACAATAGATAGAATGATGGATGGATGATGGATGTATGGATAGATGGAACAATAGACAGAATGATGAATGGGTGGATGGATGGATGGATGGAACAATAGATAGAATGATGGATGGATGGAACAATAGATAGAACAATGGATGGATGGATGATGGATAGAACAATAGATAGAACGATGGATGGGTGGATGGAACAATAGATAGAATAATGGATGTATGGATAGATGGAACAATAAATCGAATGATGGATGGATGGATAGAACGATATGGATGGATTGAACAATAGACAGAATGATGAATGGGTGGATGGATGGATGGAACAATAGATAGAATGATGGATGGATGGATGGATGGAACAATAGATGGAATGATGGATGGATGGATGGATGGAACAATAGATAGAATGATGGATGGATGGATGGATGGATGGAACAATAGATAGAATGATGGATGGATGGATGTATGGATAGATGGAAAAATAGACAGAATGATGAATGGATGGATGGATGGATGTATGGATGGAACAATAGATAGAATGATGGATGGGTGGATGGAACAATAGATAGAATGATGGATGGATGGATGGAACAATAGATAGAATGATGGATGGATGGATGGAACAATAGATAGAATGATGGATGGATGGATGTATGGATAGATGGAACAATAGACAGAATGATGAATGGATGGATGGATGGATGTGTGGATGGATGGAACAATAGATAGAACGATGGATGGGTGGATGGAACAATAGATAGAATGATGGATGTATGGATAGATGGAACAATAAATCGAATGATGGATGGATGGATAGAACGATATGGATGGATGGAACAATAGACAGAATGATGAATGGGTGGATGGATGGATGGATGGATGGATGGAACAATAGATAGAATGATGAATGGGTGGATGGATGGATGGAACAATAGATAGAATGATGGATGGATGGATGGATGGATGGATGGAACAATAGACAGAATGATGAATGGATGGATGGATGGATGGAACAATAGATAGAATGATGGATGGACCAATAGATAGAATGATGGAACGATAGATAGAACGATGGATGGATGGCACAATAGATAGAACGATGGATGGATGGATGGATGGATGGAACAATAGATAGAATGATGGATGGATGGATGGAACAATAGACAGAATGATGGATGGATGGATGGAACAATAGATAGAATGATGGATGGATGGATGGAACAATAGATAGAATGATGGATGGATGGATGTATGGATAGATGGAACAATAGACAGAATGATGAATGGATGGATGGATGGATGTGTGGATGGATGGAACAATAGATAGAACGATGGATGGGTGGATGGAACAATAGATAGAATGATGGATGTATGGATAGATGGAACAATAAATCGAATGATGGATGGATGGATAGAACGATATGGATGGATGG